CTTATAAAGAATACTGTGATATAGTACATCATCTCTGCTACATTTTTTCCCTCCATAGGGGATGTAAGCTGTCCAATATCACTTTTTGGGCCTAAATAAATATAACTAAATCTAGACCATTTATAGACTTTGCTGAGTTCTTATTATCCTAATTAAGCTGTACATACAGATTAGCAAGGATTACCTAATGTACTATATGCTGAACTGGAATGACTTGCATTTCTTTTTTATCTCTTTAATGCTTGTTTATGAATAGTGAGAATTGTAGAATTGAAGGATAGAAAAGGAGCTAGAGATACTCCTATTTGACTTCAATATTTTACATATAATATAACTTTTTTGTGGTACTGGAGATTAAACCTAGGGCTTCATGCATGTTAAGCCCAAGCTCTGTCATTGAGCTATGCCCTCCAGTCCCCTACCCCTTTTATATTAAAGATGAAAAAACTGACACTAAGAATTTGACTTGATCAAAGCTTAAAAGCTAAGATATGATCCCAGATTTGGTGCTCTCACCACTTATTAGTGCTCAGTAAATATAGTTAATAGTTTTGATGTAATTTTATGCAGAGATCTGCAATTTGAATTAAAATGTCAGAAAGTAGTATACCTTCACAATAGAATAATACCATGAATCTTTTTTGGTGATTTTTTTCCAATCCATGTTTGTGTGTTTTTCTCACTTTCTCATTGTGTCATGAAACAGTATTTCTAAGTCCCTTTTTAGATATGTTTATATTACTTTTAGAATTTATGTATATGCTCATGCTTAAGTTTAGAACTTGAACCATATAGTTTTAAGTATTTTAGGTAGTAGAGTTTTCATGTGTCAGGCTTTGCTTTTTAGTGCTTTCAGTAAAGTATTCCTTGACTTAAATAATATTTTTGAAGTTAAAAATACCTTTTCTCAGATGAAGTATTATCTTTTTTACTTGACTTATGAGAAAGTTTAACCTTCAAAATATTAAAAATATTGTAATATTTCCATTCAAACAAGATTCAGAATATAAATGGTTTCTACATTTAGTAATCTCCAATATTATGCTGCTTATATTTCTGATATCTCAATATATATATATGTTATGTTGAAAGGAACCCTGAGATAAGATATCCTTGTGAACTTAATTTTGGAGTCTGTTAGCCACTATGTAGACTTGAACAACATCAAATATTAGCCCCTCAAGTATAGAAGTCTTTACTTGGTGAGACAAATAGCTAAAATATTATAAAACAGAACTTTTGATCTCTTATTTCCTCTCTAAGAATTATTTCAGTTTTAAAAATCTTTCTTTTATTATCTTGAATCCATGTGCTTGTAAGGTATTTCAGAAAACTGTAGCCAATGTAATAAAGATACATGATTTTAATTACATTATCACATTGAACTGTTTTTTTGATGTGAAGTTATAAAAATCTAATTAATTACAGTGCTTTCTCAATTTAAAATTGTATACTTTAATTTTATATAATATTTACTCAACAAGTGGGGGATCAGAAAATATATTTATGTTGTATTTTTTAATAAAGGAAAATTCTGGTGGAAGAGACTGTGAAAAGTTGTGTGTAATGGTTTTGAAGGGCTGAGGAATGTTAGTCATTATAGGCCTGCTGGGAAGCAGCAGGAGGAGACTGCTGAGCTGATTTACTTGAATTCTATAATTTTAAGCAGAAAAAATTCCATTGTCAGATTTGTATAAACATGTTGTTAGGTTTTATTAATAACATGCAATTCATGACTTTAGTTAAAGGTAATCTTTTTGTTAGATGCAGAAACTAAATTATGATTGTAGTAGGCCTAAATGTGGGGGCATTCCAGGATGCCTTGCTGAATGAGCCAGATTACCTGGCTACCTGATTTAGTGTGTGTGTGTGTGTGTATATATGTATATATGTGTGTGTGTGTGTGTGTGTGTGTATATATATATATATATATATATATATATATATATATAAATGTGAGTAAACTTTAGGATAAACAAAACGGCTCAAGTTACTCTTTGGAATAATAGTAATTATTTTTACAAAAGTTTGTATTTAAACTTTCCATGGAAACTGTTATAGACTACTTCTTATTTATACTGAAACCTTGAGTAACTTAAACATGATAGAATAAAATAGTTTTGAAATATCAAATGCAATAAAAATTGAAAGCTTTGCTTATTGCAGGGTTGAGAAAAACTGAGAGCACTTAATTCTGAGCTACTTCATTTGAGGTAGTTACTGAAAAGATTATTTTATAAAATTTTATTTTATTTTGTAAAATTTTATTTTATTTTATAAAATTTTATTTTATAAAATTTCACAGTGTTTGATATTATTTATATCTTAACCCTGTTGGAAACTTTCCCCAGTGATGTCATTTGGTCTCCTCATTATTTCTTTCTTTCTTTTTTTCCTGATTATACTCTTCATGTTTTTTGTGGGGAGGATGGGGATTGAACTCAAGATTGAACTCAGGGGCACTTGACCACAGAGCCACATCCCCAGCCCTGTTTGTATTTTATTTAAAGACATGGTCTCACTGAGTTGCTTAGTGCCTCACCATTGCTGAGGCTAGCTTTGAACTTGAGATTTTCCTGCCTCAGCCTTCTGAGCGCTGGGATTACAGGTGTGCGTCACTCACTGTGCCCAGCATACTCTTCATGTTTACTTAAAAGATTCTTGAAGTTTCATTCTTCCTTTTCCCCTGGCTCTTCTCCCTCCTATGTGTGACATACCTGAGCTGTATTCCTAGTTGCAAAATGCTACAATATTCATCTTTTCTGGATAGCCATTCACTATATTGTGTTTAGGAAATGTTTTTGTACTTTTATCTCATTCTTGACATTTATTAATAGTTCAACTAATAATTTAGTTCTTCAAACAAAATAATAAAATTACGTTCTAAATATTTCCTAGCTTCCTTAGAAAGCAAATTCATAGTTGGAAAACTTGATAATGCAGGTGAAATTTCTACATGGATACAGGTATATGTACCTTACATACTACCTCATCTCCATAAGTTCAGTATCTGCTAAATTCTCTTTGGCATTCCCACTGGCCTCACCATCAGCTTGTTGGGAATGGACTCTGAATGCTGCTTATTGTGATTTATCTTATTCTTACACTGATTCAAGAGTAGACATTCTGTTATTCCCTGATGTGAGTATGCGATGTTGAAATATTTAGATAAGACTAAGGTTTCTGGATAACAAAGGAAGTGAACATGCAGAATAAATTCATTTCTTCATAGTGAAAGTCAGAGTCCTTACTGTAGCCTGTAAAAGTTATCTGAGGTGTGTCTGATCTCTTTTCCTTCTAGTCTACCTTTACCTCACTTGGTTTCACTACAGTGGCCTCCTTGTGGATACTTGGATGTTATCACATGTCCTGACCTTTATGTCTACACCATCTGTTCTCTCTTTCCCCTCAGGTACATGTGTAACTAAATCCCTACTTCAAGTTCTTGCTATATTTCACCTTCTGTGTGAGACCTGTCTTGATCTCCCTATATAGCTGCCCCCACTTCCTACCCCACTGGTGGTCCCCCTTATCTTGCTCTATACTCTGTTCTTTATTCCAATGAACATAATTTTCTAACATACTCTATCACATATTCTTGATGTATTTACTTTATCATTCTTTTTTTCTCTTGCCTCTAAAATGTAAACTTAATAAAGAAGAAGTTTTGTGTGTGTTTGTGTTTTGTTTTGGTAGTAGTTGCTTTAATTAGCAGATTTCCCTTAGTACTTAACAACATTGGTATTTGGTGTATAGGAGTTGTCAGTGATTATCTAATAGGTAACAAATTTGGTTTTTGTAAGACTTGAGTTTTTCTACCTTAGTAAGTGATCAATTCCTGGTCAGCCTCATATCTTTACTTTGTCCTTCTCTTTTTATGTGGATCATTTGAATACATCTAGAATTTGAGAAAAAAAGAAGTCCACATCCAAGAAAACAATGCCTAGAAAAATTAGAAAACACTCTTTACTGCCATCTGAGTTCTGTTTTTACTCTCCTTGGGATAATTGCCAGTGAGAACAGAGTATACTTGTATTTATCCTGTAAAAATGTAGCATTTCCCTATGGTCCTAACATGGCAGCTGTGTTAACCTTTGTCTTTGTCTCTGTATCCCCAGAGCAATTTTAATTCCCATATCCATGGTGATAATGAACTGTCTCACCTTTTACATTGTAGAAATATTCAGTCTGGAACAAACATAAGTTTTAATTGATGGACAGAATCACCAAGTTAATAAGACCAGTGTAATCAGTTTGTTCCTTTGTAACCTTTCTCAGGCTTAAGAAGGTCCTAAAAGGTGAATTCGGTTCATCCAGATTCTGTAACTGATGAATTGTGTAACCTTTGACAAATTATTTAACTTACCTGTCTTCAGTAGATTGAATTTGTTGTTGTATTGTTGTTTGCTGGTTTGTTTTTAACTCTGGATTTTATATCATCAGAAATGTTTTAAACTTTATGTTCTGGGAAGACTTTCAAAATATTTTAGCAATTAAGTTAATAATCATATTATTGTACTTCATTTAAGACTTAAATTTGTAAGGTACTACATATCTAGAAACAAAGTTGAGCCTACAACCTAGCAAGAATTCTTTTCTTATGTACTTTCATAAGATAAGCAGATTTGTAATAATCCCTGGAATTCATTTAACTAGAAAATTAAGTCTTTAGCTGTGATAAGCAATTTAGGGTTAGTCTGTATATCCTTACCTTCCTTTATGTTTTCGTTCCCTTTTTTCTTCTTTAGCTCTTAGGTTATCTATTGCACAATTTTATTTGCTTAGAGAACAAAAGGATGATACTTTGTACTTTATTTGACTTTTAAATTTAAATTTACATTTTATTTATCATCTCTCCTGTCCTTCAACAAATTGACTTGTATTTTGTAGATGCTTCTTAAATGCTGCTTGAGTAAATGAAGCTGCATTTATTTCTTTGCTTTTGTTTTCCTAATACTAAGTTAACAAAGAAAGTGATTTTAAACTTTTCTTCTTTTAAGAAAGGTGACTCTTGTGATGGTGGGACTTGATAATGCTGGCAAAACAGCAACAGCAAAAGGAATCCAAGGAGGTAAGCTGAAAATTATTCCAAAATCTAATAAATTATCCTGAATTTACATATTTATGCTAAATTGTTTTGTCACATAATAATTGGGTTTATATAGTATGCACTCAGTTACTTTATATTCTTAATATACTTGAGACTTTCATGACTGGGTTCTAGCTTGTTAGTACCAGCCTAATATTAGGGTTCAAATTTCAATAGATGCAGAGAAACAGAGGCTCCTTGAGGTCTCTTTTTAGCTAGGAGGTTGGTGTCTGTGTTCTAAAATGTAAGGACGGTAAATGCAAAAAAACAATGGCATATCCTTGTCTTTAACAATATCCATTTTCTACATGTATGTTCTTGGTCAGAATTTGGTCATATAGCTAGGTGATGTAGAAGTAAAAATGTAGTTAGCATACCTCTGCATTTCTTGAGGACATCATAGACAATATTTTGTAATACACAATACACATGGAATTTACATTATAGAATTTGTGGTGGCAAAATGTTTTCTTACAATAGTAAGTTTTGCAGGGTATTAAGAAGTAAAAGTCCTCTGATTACGTGGTATACAAGCTATCTTGTTGCATTCAGTTTTCAGGAATAACTACTAAGGGCTTTTCTCCCAATTCACACCCTTTAAGATACCTAGGTGGTGATATATCTTCAGGACCCAAGAAACTCACTATCACACCACAGCTACACTGTAGGATAAAGCATTAAATTAAAACTAACCAACTAAATATAGCCAATGAGATATAGCATACATGATAAAAAGTCCTTTAATGACAGATAAACTGTGGTTAATGTAACTATAAAAATTACATTTTACATTGAAAAATAGCATCAAGAAATGCAGTTCATCTATAATAAGTCCTTAATAATGATTGCATGGGTAGATGGATACATATATTGAAGGGCAAGAACAGCAGCATCAGCTATTTTATTTTATTTTTACTTTTTATTTTTGCTAACACAGATTGAACCTAGGTGCACTCAACCCCTGAGCCATATTCCCAGCCCTTTTTAATATTATATTTAGAGACAGGGCCTTGCTAAGTTGCTGAGGCTGGCTTTGAACTCAAGATCCCCCTGCCTCCACCTCCCAGGCCACTGGAATTTTCAGCGTACACTACTGCACCTGGAAACATTAGTTATTTTAGCAGTATTGTGTTATAGTTTGAAGCACTATGTATGTTGTGGTGAGTGCTAAGGATACAAAGACTTAGTCCCACATGATGGGAAGATGTAGGCTCATATGAAGGTCATTTAGAAGATAGGATATTATGGTAGAGGGTAAAGGTGATAATAGAAGTGAAAAGGAATCAACAGAAAAGGATTTATGGGGAAAGTTGCATTTGAATTTACGCTTAAGTCTTGAAATGCAAATCCTGTATAGGAATCAGTAGAGAGTAGAGGGCATTCCATATTCTGGCTTTTGTAGTCCTAAAGACCTCTATTTCAATTGCAGAGGCTTTTGAGAGGACTTGTATTTGTATCCTATCTCTACCTAGAAGTAAACTTGAAAAAACATTCTTAGTGTGTATCAGTTGTTTGGGAATATTGCTCTCATTTTATCTGTGCTTACATTGCTCCCTCTGCCTAGAATGTTGTTCTCCCTCTGTTAGAATTATGTAGCTTTATGACTTCACTCACATTTCACTTCTCTGAAGCCTCTCTAGACTATAATTCATCCCTTCCTTCTTGAATTCCCTCACACTATCCTAAGTCTTTTTCATAGAACATAAAAATTCTGTTATCCTCAGTAATATTCTCTCTGTTTTGGCATTCAGTGTTCTGTGAGGATATCAACCATATTTTTATTGCTCTTTGTACCATGATTCCTAGAAAATTTCTGTTATTGAATAGACATTTAGTACACATTAGTTTCCTATCTCTGCTCCATAGTAGTGGATTTGTTTTCATTTGTGATTTCCTCTGACTTGACTTAATTCATTCTCAAAGACAACTGCCTAGGGCTGGGGATATAGCTCAGATGGTAGAGTGTTCGCCTCATATGCACAAAGCCCTTGGTTCAATCTCCAGCACCACAAAAAAAAAAAAAAAAAAAAAAAAAAGACAACTGCTTATTTGCTTATTTTGTCTGTGAAAACCAATTCTGGCCAATACTAGCTCCATATTTTTAATGATGTACTGTGATACTGTTTCTTGAAAATCAGGCTGCTTATATTAGGTCTAATCTTGCTTTTTGCTTTTCTAGAAAATGAAGATATAGCAAAAATGTGACTTTAAATATCTCTAATAACTTTCTCAGGCATTGTGTGAACTCTGCAGAGGTACTTGTTAAAAGAAAGTCGTGCAGTGCAGATGTGTTTCTCAGTTATACCTAAGCCCAGAAAGTGCCTTTTACATTTATCTTCTTATGTTTTGCTCAATGTGGGAATCTTACTCTCTAAGGTTGGTCAGTATTATTTTCTGCAGTGGTGGGAATGGTCTGTATTTACTCTGTCCAGTAGGGTGGACCTGAAAAATCCATGTAGTTTTTGAACACTTGAAATATAGCTTGTACAACTGAGAAAAAAAATTTTTAATTTTATTTTATTTTAATTAATTTTAAGAGCCTCATGTAGTTTTTGCTACTGTTTTAATCATACAGTGCTACACAAAGTCCTAGAGTAGTAGTTATAGTAGATTGTAGTGATGTAGAGGGAATGGAAGAGACAAACATGAAACTTGAACCTATTAGCAGGTTCTACTAATCTTTCAAGGGTTATATCTTTTCCATTCCTTTGTTTTTATGTTCATACCTTTCTGAAAAGTATGTGTCATTCACTTTCATTGTAGAGATTTTTGCAAAATGAATTTTAATAAAGCATTTCTTCAGTCACCTTTAATAGTCTTCCAAATACCTTCATTGATTCTCTGTTCTCTGACTTTGGACCCCTCTTCAGTCTGGCTTCAGTCTGCATTTACAGTCTTAAGGATTAGCTTCAGTTTGTGGCTATTTTCTTGATTCTCATTTCCCTTGCTTACATTATGCTTCTGCCTACCTAATTTTTAGGTCTAATTCCCATCTCCCCATTTTTTTTTAATGACCTTCAGAGGGGCTGGGGATGTGGCTCAAGCTGTAGCGCGTTCACCTGGCATGTGTGCAGCCCGGGTTTGATCCTCAGCACCACATACAAAGATGTTGTGTCCGCTGAAAACTAAAAAATAAATATTAAAATATTCTCTCTCTCTCTCTCTCCCTCCTCTCTCTCTTTAAAAAAAAAAAATGACCTTCAGAGATCTCTTGTTAATCCTTTTCTGTCATTACCACTCATTGACTGATATAATCATGTGCACCCTAGACTTTTTTTTTGCTGTCATATACAGAAGCGCTTCCCCTAAAAACAGAAAACCTTCAATTATACATTATTTGGAGCATCTAGTACATATATCTGTAGAAATAATGTAGTCTCTTTATTTTATTTGCAAGCTGTTATCAAAAATCTTTACTTAGTTGTAGCTCTAACTTATCTAGTTTAAAAGAGGTTTTTTTTTTTTTTTTTTTTTTTTTGTAGTTTCTCCTATGTTATGATTCTTCTAAACCATTTTATTCTTTAAATGTTTATCATTTTCTTTTTAACTCCACAGAGTTTATCCCTAGGGTTGACTATGGCATTGAAAGGTTGACACTTATTGTTTTTAAGTTGGAGAGGAAATAGCATTAACGACAAGAATTTATTCATTCATTTAACATATACTTACTGAATACCTATTAGGTGCTGGGATTATAGCATCTTAAAAAATACAGAAATTTCTATCTGCATGGAATAAAAAATATAGTTGGATATTTTGTATTATCTAGCCTCTTATCAAACCAGTATGTTTAGATGTAGTGTCTGTTGCATAAACAAGTGGTAAATATTCCATTTAGTATTTAAATGACATTAAAATACTAGAGTTAATGTTATTTAAAGTCTAAAGATTGTTCCTTTTGTGTCATTTTAAACAGAACACCCTGAAGATGTAGCTCCTACTGTTGGATTTTCTAAAATTGACCTTAGACAAGGAAAGTTTGAAGTCACCATCTTTGACTTGGGAGGTGGCAAAAGAATTCGGGGAATTTGGAAGAATTACTATGCTGAATCCTATGGGGTAATATTCGTTGTGGATTCCAGTGATGAAGAGAGAATGGAAGAGACAAAAGAGACAATGTCAGAAGTGTTAAGACATCCTAGGATATCTGGAAAGCCTGTATTGGTGTAAGTAACAGTGTCATTGTAAATTAGGGGCAGTGGCCTTAACCGATAAAGAAGTTATCTGTTACAAAGTATTGTATTAACTAAAATAGTTGTGCCCTAGTACAATAAAATGTATGTAATTAACTGAGAATTACTGATTATTGAGGGCTTCTTATAAAATAGGGATAAAGAATTAAGATTGTGTTATGGAACAAGTCTTATAATTAGATCTCCTGGGTATTAAAATATAAACTCATGTTTTAGTTGACAATTTTCTTTCTATAAAATTTAGTTTGAAATTGTCTATTAACAAGATTCTAGAATAATTTAAATTTTTTTCTCTTTTAATAACATATTTTACCATTGTCCTTGTTTTTTGTTTTTTTTTGAGAAGATTCTTGTTTGCAAATTATTTAAATGGTTTATTTTTCTAATGCCACATTGATTTTGTAATATTTATTTCTTATTTTTCCATCTTACACATATGATCTGTGTCATTACCATCTTAGTCATACAGTTATATCATTTTGTCCGACTGCCTGAACATTTTTTAAGAACAAAGTGACAAACATCTTTTGTCGTCATAGCATTTATGTGTGGTAAACACCAGATGGTGCTATAGCTATGGTAGGTAGTAAAGTGAAAGTTCCTTAGTTTAAATTTCTCTTTAACTTGAAGCTAACTAAATATTGTCCTTGCCTTCTTATTTCTTTTCCCTCATTCTTGTGATTCACTATTAAGGATTAAAAAAAAATCAACTTATCATGTGGATAAATGAAAAAGTCTTAGTTCTCATTGTTCCTCAGGAGAATGAAGATTTTTTTAAGTGAGGCAGTTTGGAAGCTTTGATTACAAACGTTAAAAATCTAATTGTATCATTTATTGTTAAGTTTATACTTTAAAATTTTTATGGATTTAACTAATTAGGGAAGGTATGTGGTTTATATAATCAATACTGAATCAATACTGAATACTGAAGTAAAACTATATTAGAGATATATATGAAAAGTTAGGTTGAATTGGTCTCTACAGTGTTTAAGCAGAGAATCAGTGATTTCTAAAGTCAATGATATTAATGACTATTAAAAAAAGATAGTAATGACTGTTGATCATTCATAAAATAGTTATATGTTTATACTTCAATAGTCATTTATTTTTCTTTTGTTCTTTTGTACATTTATTCATGCACGTACATATTAATTCATCAAGTTATTTATTGAGTATCTATTCTGTGCCAGGCACTGTTCTGGTGAGGGGAATTTGTTTGGGAACAAAAACAGTGAAACTACATGTCTGACTTCTGGTGCTTGCTTATGTTTTAGTGGGTATAGTAATAAATAAAATTAACAAATTCTGTCATATTAAGTGATACATATATTGAAACAATGAAGTAGGTGAAGGAAGATCAGGATGCCTATAGTGGTGGTGACAACAAGGGCATTTTGCCCTTATAATTAAGGAATATTACACTTAAGGTGATGGAGACAGTCTTACAGATTTCTGTGGAAAAGCACCAGGGCAGGAGCTTGCAATTATTAAGTGACTGGAGTGATTTCTGAATAATTAGATAACTATAAGTAAAATATCTGCTTTCAGTTCTGTCATCTCTCTCAGCCAGGGAATTTCCTGAGTAGAAGAAAAAAGTACACAGCTTGGATGATTACTTCATCATTATAATTTTATAATCAGTGAGAACTTAAAAAGATATGAGGATTAATTATGGATCAATAGTATGTTTATGAAATATAATATGTCTTATTATTTTATCAACTTTTTTCAGAGGAGTTTTTTTTCCCCAAAAATGTATTTTAATTTTAATTGACACATAGAAATTGTACATGTTTGTGGGGTACAGTGGGATATTTCAATATTTGTATATAAAGTGTACTTTGATTCAGATCAGGGTAATTGACATTGTTATTCCAAGATTTGTGTTTGTGGTGTGAACATTCAGTCCTATTAGCTGGAGGAAGTAAGTCACTGAAGATGCCTTTGGAGTATATGTTTTATATCTGGCAAGTGGAGTCTCTCTACCTCTCTGCTTCCTGATATGATGTATTCAGCCACTTTCCTTTGCCACACTTTTCTGCCATGATGTTTTCTCATTTTGATCTCTAAAGAATGGAGCTAGCTGTCTATGGATTGAGACCTTTGAAACTCTGAGCCCACAGATAAATTTTGTCTTCTCTAAAATTGTTTTTGTCAGGTTCTTTGGTCACAGTAGTGAAAAACCTGACTAAAATAACATAGGCTTATTTCTGAATTCAGTATTCTATTCCTTTTGTCTATGTGTTTGTTTTTGTGCCAGTATCATGCTGTTCTAGTTACTAAATCTTTGAACTAATGTTTTGAAGTCAAGTGTGGTAATGCCCTCCAGCTTTGTTATTTTTGCTCAGGATTGCTTTGCTCTTTGGGGTCTTTTGTGTTTCCATAAAAAATTTTAGGGAGTTTTTTCCCAATATCTGTGAAAGAATATCAATGGTATTTTAATAGGAATTTCATAAAATCCATAAATCACTTTGCATAGTATGGACATTTTAACCATATGAATTCTTCTAATGCATAAGCATGGGATGTCTTTCAGTTTTTTTGTGTCCTGCTCAGTTGATTTCATGACTGTTTTGACATTTTCATTGTAAGGATTAATCACTGTCTTGATTGTATTTATTCCTAAATAGTTCATTTATTTATGTTTTAAGCTAATGTGAGTGGATTCCTTTCTTGACTTCTTTCTCAACAGTTTTCTTTTTGATGTATATAGTAAAGGTACAGATTTTTTTATGTTCATTTTGTGTCTTGCACCTTACTGATTTTTTTTTTTAAGTCCATTGCTTTTTTTTTTTTTTGGTACCAGGGATTGAATTCAGGGGCACTCAACCACTGAGCCACATCCCAGCCCTGTTTTGTATTTTATTTAGATACAGGGTCTCACTGAGTTGCTAAGAGCCTTGCCATTACTGAGGCTGGCTTTGAACTCGCCATCCTTGTGTCTCAACTTCGTGAGCCACTGGGATTACAGGCATGCGCCACTACACCCAGCCCCTACTGTATTTGTTTATCAATTCTACCAGTTTTTTGGTAGAGTCTTAAGGTTTTAAATCATGTCATTTTCTAACAGGGATAATTTAGCTTCTTCCTTTTTAAATTTGAGTGTCATTAATTTCTTTCTCTTGCCAAATTGCTTTGGCCAAAACCTTCAATACCATCTTGTATAAGGTTGATGAAAGTGGACGTCCTTGTCTTGTTTCTGGTCTTAGAGGAAATGATTCTGGCTTTTCCCATTCACTCTGATGTTATCTGTAGGTGTTTTTGTTTGTTTGTTTGTTTGTTGCTGTTCTAATTAGTTATCCATGACAGCAGAATATGCACTTCAATTCATTGTATACAAATGGAGTACAATTTTTCATTTCTCTAGTTGTACACAATGCAGTCACACCGTTCATGCAATCATACACTTACATAGGGTAATAATGTCCATTTCATTCCACCATCTTCCAACCCCATACCCCTTTCCCTGTCCTCTCTCCCCTTTGCTCAATCCAATGTTTCTCCATTCTTTCCTTGCCGCTCCCCCCTATTATGGATCATCATTCTCTTATCACAGAAAACATTTGGCCTGATTGACTTCCTTCGCTTATCATGATACTCTCCAGTTCCATCCATTTGCCTGCAAATACCATAATTATATTCTTCTTTAAGGCTGAGTAGTATTTCATTTTGTATATATACCAGAGTTTCTTTTTCCATTCATCTATTGAAGGGCATCTAGGTTGGTTCCATAGTTTAGCTATTTTTTAATTGAGCTGCTATAAACATTGATGTGGCTGCATCACTGTAGTATGTTGATTTTAAGTCCTTTGAGTATAGATTGAGCAGTGGGATAGCTGGGTCAAATGGTGGTTCCATTCCAAGTTTTCTAGGGAATCTCCATACTTCTTTCCATAGTGATTACACCAATTTGCAATCCCACCAGTAGTAAATGAGTGTACCTTTTCCCCCACATCCTCGCCAACACTTACAGTTGCTTGTATTCTTGATAATTGCCATTCTGACTGGAATGAGATGAAATCTTAGTTTTTATTTGCATTTCTTTAATTGCCAGAGATGTTGAACAGTTTTTCATGTTTGTTGATCGATTTTATATCTTATTTTGTGAAGTGGTTGCTCAGTTCCTTAGCACATTTATTGATTGGGTTATTTGTGTTTTTTTGGTGTTAAGTTTTTTGAGTTCTTTGTATATCCTGGAGATTAGTGCTCTTATCTGATGGGTGTGTGATAAAGATTTTCTCCTATTCTGTAGTCTCTTTCTTCACATTACTGATTGTTTCCTTTGCTGAGAAAAAGCTTTTTAGTTTGAATCCATCCCATTTATTGATTCTTGATTTAATTTCTTGCACTTTAGGAGTCTTGTTAAGGAAGTCAGGTCTTAGCCAACATGATGAAGATTTGGGCCTACTTTTTTTTTCTATTAGGTGCAGGGTCTTTGGTCTAATTCCTAGGCCCTTGATCCACTTTGAGTTGAGTCTTGTGCAGGGTGAGAGATAGAAATTTAATTTCATTTTTGCTGCATGTAGATTTCCAGTTTTTCCAGTACCATTTGTTGAAAGACAATTTTTTCTCTAATGTATGTTTTTGGCACTTTTGTCTAGTATTAGATAACTGTATTTATGTGGGTTTGTTTCTGTGTCATCTATTCTGTACCGTTGTTCTACAGGTCTATTTTGGTGCCAATACTATGCCGTTTTTGTTACTGTAGCTCTGTAGTATAGGTTCAGTTCTGGTATTGTGATGCCTTCTGCTTTATTCTTCTTGCTAAGGATTGCTTTAGCTATTCTGGGTTTCTTATTTTTCCAAATGAATTTCATGATTGCCTTTTCTATTTTTATGAGGAACATCATTGGGCTTTTAATTGGAATTGCTTTAAATTTGTATAATGCTTTTGGTAGTCTGGCCATTTTGACAATAATAATTTTGCCTATCTAAGAACAAAGGGGATTTTTTCATCTAAAATTTCTTTCTTT